ATATATTTAATGTGACCTTTTACTCTGTAATATTAAGGTTCCAATAAAAGATTAGGCTTGTATTTGTCACCCTCATTCAAGTCAAGTCAAAAATCATTGACTTGACTTTCACTAATACGCATGACAATAATAATAGTACTAACATAACTCATGAAATTAGCTATGTGTAGGGTCATGTCTGAAGTTATAGTTGCAATATTCCAATATAAAGTTTTTAGAAATTCACTTGAGAAGTTTTTATGAGTGGTAACAGTGCTGAGGCTGTCTTACTGTGGTAAAATGAACAGTGCAGGAGATGGCGATGATGAGAAGCCCGATGATGACTGAGGCAATAGCCACGTAGAGCGCGTTCCTGCCCAGCCGCCTGGAGCCTTCGTAGTCTCCGCTGTAATAACTGTTTCTAGACTGGAAGAGAGAAATCACTGTAAAGAGTAAAAACTCACCGGCAAACCTGCTAAAAACATCAAATGTGGTGCGCAGAGCTCTCTGAAAAGTCTATGAAAAAGTTTAATCAGTGGTTTTGTTTTTTGGTTTTTTTTTTATTTGCCAAGTGAAAGTTTATTTCCATCAACAGGCAGCATGAAAATGTAATTTTCCAAAGCGGAAGATGAAGTAAGTTTGTTTGATGGGCAGAGCAGGTGTCTGTGTGACTGGGTTACATCTTAGGGTCCAGCACATCAGAATACTGTGTAAGCGTTACATTTAAAGCAGCCTGGACAAGAACATGTTTCATTTCTTTCTGACTCATTATTTCCTTAATATTAGAGCACAGAGCATGAATAGTCTAACACAGAGTCGTGGGCAATTCATTCTCCTAAGGGGCCACGTGACACACTGGAACTGTTGTGGAAGACGAGAGCAAAAAGCTGAACTCTGCTCAGTATTTATCTCTTTATAAACTGCTACTGGTAAGAGTAGATGTTACTATCAGTTGTTAGCTGTGGGCTCTTGGGAAAATTAATTGCCTGCCCATGGTCTGACATGATATATTAAAACCCCATCAGCTGATCTAAGTTTTATTGTTTATACTTACCATGATAGAGAAGACCAAGGCCACAATGTTGACGGGGTATGCAGGACAAAAGCATGTAAAAATGGTCAAACAAAGGTAGCTTTGAAGAGGAGGTGGTAGTTCCTCTACATAACCACTGTCAAAAAATTCGCTCCCACTTAAGGAGCTCTTTAACTGTGGATTTAGCACTCCAAGTGCCATCGAATCTGACAGCGAGAGGTGAAACACCGAAATTTAAAAATGTTACAGAAAAAACAAAAGCTAAAAAAGTGTTCTAAATACAGCAGGAGGGAGTTTAAGTCTAACTTTTAACTTTGGAAAAAAAAATAATGAAACCAACAGCTTAAAACTCAGCTTGAAAAGTCTGGTCTTGTATACCGGGTCTAATCCTTCCTCAAAGCTGCGAAAAAATGAAGTTTGTAGGGAGAGAAGGCGAAGCAGAGCTGGGAGAGGATCACTAACCCTGCTGGCCTCCATCCAGAACTCTGACCCTGATAGAAGTGTGAGGGATCAGACTGTTTACCACTGCTGGCAGCCCACACCAACATAGTCACTGCACTGCAAAATGGATTAATGTTGTTAGCACAGCACGACACATGCATGGAACTTCTGATGAAACAATGCACCCCGTTTTTTAGTGTGTCAAGTTAAAGACCGTGAAAATGATGAATATGGGAACAAGTCCTTCAGGCATATCTCACTGTATTTGTTTACTCTGTCAACTCTATCCATGCAGTTTTGGTGAAAGTTCTGTTGTTAAATTTGCTACTGAAGGGAAGTCTATGAGTACTTCAACCCACCAAAATTGGGAGGACTTTCATAGACTACAGGTAAAAGTGGATGCAGACTTCTTACAACACTTCTTGTTGTTTCTTTCAGTAGTCTACAGGAGTCTTTGTGGTGGTTCAAAATGTAACTTTATTATTCTGCACTCGTAGTTCTATTAAGTGTGACAAGATACCCAACACCATTGGCTGAAATGTAGCCCCAAACCATGACAGAGCCTCCACCATGCCTGGCAGATTTTCATACCAGTTGTTTTTTCTCTGTTTTCCTTCCTTAAAAATGGCTTCTTGACAGCCATCCTTCTACTGAGACCATTTCTGATGAGGCTTCAGCTAACAGTAGATCAAGATCTGTATCTCTTAGGTCCTATGTCAGGTCTTGGCTGAATTGTTTTTATAGACATGACTTTCAGGTATTATTCATCTGCTGTAGATAGTTCTTTAGGCCACTTCCTTTTTTGTCCTCCACCGCTTTCAACAATTTTTTACAGACATGCAGCACACCATGCTGAGATATGCCAAGTTTTCAGATAATAGCGACTTGGGAATCACGGTGTTGGTGCTAAAATAGGTCTATGTCTGTCAATCTGTTATCTTTGGTATTTTTTTATAGAGTCAACTAAAAAATGGGAACGAATTATGTTTTTGTGACAGGCTGCTAGTAACAATGTGCCTAAAGATAGAATTCTTTGATAAGTTCTCTGTCACTCATCACTGGAGTTGGAGTTTATATGTTGGAATGACTCACAGTCCAGCATTTAGTAGTTTAAATTAACAACACAGACCAAAATGTTTTTCGCACCAGGCTGCAAACATGTTTATCCCTACTGTAAGGCTGTGCATTTGATTAAGGGAGCGAATCCAGCCACAAATGGCCATTCTGTGAACTGCAACTTTTGGCACTTGTGTTTTGGCTTCATTTTTAAGCCTCAGCAATTGAAGTTTGGCAGTTATATACACCGACTATTTGTGCCAGTATACCAATTTAAGAGGCGGCATTTGCTCCTAAGATTTCAAACACGCAGGTCAGTTCACATGACTTCAGTGCGCATGTGAACAAATGTTGGGTTAAAAAAAAAAAGGAGTCACAAACACTTTAGAATAATTTATTAGGATTTTCAAATTGAAACTGTCAGGAAAAAAAAAAACAAAGAAAAAAAGAAGAAAAAAAAAGAAAAGCATTGCTGTAAAGCTTGGCGGGGGACAGCCCAAATCTTAAACTTTAACCGAGCTCATGTAGAGCTACAAACTCCATTCAAAGCATTGGCCCTTTTCCTTACAACAGCACAACAAAAGACATCATTAAAATCAATATACAAGGGGAACAAGATCTCAAAACAGAAAAATATAGTTTCTTTTTTTTTCTGAAAATAAGTCTTAATGCCGCAGAATTATCCACTTGTCGTCTGCTATTACCAATAATAGTACTATTTTCATTTGTAAGGTAAAAAATAACTTATTGCTTTATTGTAAGTTAAAAAGTTACAGTGTTGGTGTCCAGCAGTAGTTTTTTTTTTTTTTCTTTTATCATGTCCCAGCCCGTCTGACAGAGGAACTACTGGCTGGATCAGGAAGTTTTCTGCTGTGCTGAACATCAAACAGGCTGCAGCAAGAAGGCTGAACAAACAGGCTACTTGTTTTTGCAAAGGTTGAATTTGTTCCAGCATTTTGACTTTTCCTGCCAGCCAGCGCCGTCTTGTACTGAGGCCCCCGTATCAGAGCCGACTGGGAGTGAGACCCTGTTCCATTTCTGGTTCCCTGCCCAAAACCCTGTCTGTTCACCACCACACTGAGCAGCAACTATATATAAACAGTTATCTGTTGGTTCCAGAGGTGCACAAATTTATTAAAACGAAGTGTGGAATGGGAGAGAGTCAGGGGGGAGAAGAGCAGATGAACCCAAATGGAGCAGGGCAAACGTTCTGTTTTTTTTCAGTACCAAAGGAAAAAAAGGCAATCAAAACGCTCCTTCGCTGACTAAAGTAGTTCCATATTACACTTTGATGTATGCGCACAAACACTCACTCGCACGCACGCACGCACACAGGCAGACGCAATCACATGCACCTTCAATAGTGATAAGAGGAAAGAACATGATCGTGATTTTTCTACAACTGCTTCTCTGAGAATGTCCTTCATTTGTTTGTCACGGTGGAGAGCACCGCATAAAAGAATTTTCTTAAAAGAAATAAAATAAACAAAAACATTAAGAAGAGAAACGCGCAAAAAAAAAATATATATATAATATTTTCAAAAATCAGGAAGTGAAGTCAAGTCCCAAATCGCCAGAAACCCCTTATTTCTCCTGTTTTAAAGTTGTTAATCATCCAAAGTCCCGTCGTGGTTTCATAAACTGTTTTCCACGAAGACGCAAGAGACAAATTCGCTTATTTTTCTCTCTCTCTCTTTTTTTTTTGAAAGACTTAAAGCAAACAAACAAAAATATGACCTGGTAACAAACAAACAAAAAAGTGTCAACTGAAAAAAATATGTCAGACATGCTCCTGGAAGTTTATTCGCCAACAGCTATCCTGGATAGCGTTGCGCTGAAGTGACGCTAGAGTGGACTGCCCCACAGTGTACACATAATGGCGTATGCATACCCATAAAAGTAGTGAGATGACCGCAGAGAGTAGTAAATGACATCCAGTCAAATTGCTGTTAACCCTTTTCCAAACCAACCAATGACATGCCAGCCGGTTCAGTGACCCCTCCCTCCCACACCCATCCCACACCCACCCTACCTCACCCAATGTCTATGTACAATATTTTACAGGAAGACATAAAAACATTGCTTTAAAACCAATTACAGAATAAAATACCTTACAGATTATTATGTCAATATTAATAACAATATTACAAAGGG